GGTGGGCACTGAATGGTTTTCAGCCCGACACGAAACCCTTCGAAATATATAGGGTCAGATTTTGGGAAGCAGATCGGGCTTAGATGAAATTGCTAACCTCTTGTGAAATGTAAGGGGAAAATAAAATCGACAAAACGAAAGTGAAAGAACTAGAATTTTTTGCAAACAATATTTTTTAAGAAAGTTTCTTTTTTTTTTTTTCCTTTTTAACAGTGAAGAATAAATTAAGATTTCTTACTCTTGAGCATGCAACATACTACTAGCCATGCGTAAATGTTTCATTCTGGAGCCAAATTCCAATCTTTTGAAGCGTTTGGACTGCTCATTTGTTTATAGCTCACGCAAACGCTGGGCGAGCTGGAAAATGGTTTCTTGTATACATAAAAACTTAAAAAGATATTCACCAATCATTATTGCATTTGTATTAAATAGCTATTTTAATCATTAAATTGTTTTCAAAATAGCTGAAACTGAGAATATTCCTAAAATTTTCAGCGTGTATCATCTGAAGAAGGCCGGAGCATACGGCGGCAGAAACTTCATGATTATGACAAAGATGAAAACAACAGTCCGAAAAATGTAAATAGTTACAATACCTCCATTTCAGAAATATGGACAGGTCCTGGTTTCGAATTAAAAAAAAAAAATATATGATTAAAAGCTGATAACCTGCTCAATATCGATCACTGGTGAGGTCTTTAAGATTCTCCCGCGGCATCGTATAATCTATAGGTTGCAAGAGCAATCCAACAGTTTCTTGATATTTAAAAAAAAAAAAAAAGATACATATGAAACTTATCTCTGATGAGAAAGCAGCATTCTATCCACTATGCTTCGGTGTGACATTGGGTCAAAATTTAGACGGGAAAATAAAAATGCAATAAGATTTCAGTTGTAAGTATTGAAATGTTTGAAAAGATTTATGTCAGCTTAGGTCAATGCTCCTTCATCATGTCTTCAAAAATTGTCAGAAGCAATGTTTGCTAAAAGGGAGAATTTTCTTTTTGGTATGTATATATACATTTTTTTAATGTTCCACAATAATGCCAATAAACGCAAAATGAAAATAGTGACTGAATTATTGATTATTGCTTTGCGCATCTATAAAAAAAACTCCCTCGTCGTCTTCTCTTCAATTTTTCTCAGGCTTTTCGTGGTTATTCTCGTTACTACCATTTATCATTGCTGATGCTATTTACAATAATACCCAGTTTTAACCCGTAAAAATGTCACGGCTTCACTATTTGATAATTTCTAATGAATCTTAATACGTCAGTTATTGATGGAATAAGTTCATGGCGACTTCTACGACATTAACATATCAGTAGAAACGCATCGTTAAATATTTGAGTTTAACTTCAACAAAATATTACAATAATAATCATAAATATGAATGCTGGACGTTATTTTAAGAAGTAAGGGGATACAAATGAAGATATGTAATTGAAGTTAAACAGATCTGTCTTTCCGTTTTTTTTTTTTTTATATATATATATATATATATATATATATTATTTAAAATAATAAGATTTAAAATACCCAAGTCTTTATTTAACCCTAGTTTATATGTATTTAATTTTAAAATCCAGTATTTTTCTTTTTTTCTGCGTGTATATGAAATCAGAATCTATCAAGAAACATTTACAATTTTCTAATGAGTGCCCTGATTGATTAAAGTGTTCAGCTATGGGGGAATAATATTAAAGTATACGTGGTTTATATTATGCAGCGGAAATATATATATATATATATATATATATATATATATATGCCAGCCAGCATGTTTTCATTGAGACATGTGTAATTTAGACAAGTTTTGTCGACTTATATTGGATCCTTTCGTATTCATGAAAAAAAATTTGAAACCAAACCTTATTAAAATTAATTATGAATATCAGACAAATGTTTTAAAATGTTTCCAGTAGATAGTTTAAAATATCGAGGCTTGTACAAATAGTTTTAATGTTTATTTCTTAATAAAATCTCACGATACGGCATAATTTACTTACCTCACCTGAAGCGTTACTCGAGCCAATCGCACAGCACTCAATTCAGCGGTCCTCACTTCACAAGTAAAAACTTTTAACTTTCAGATAAACACTAAAATATTAATCTTGAAAAAAACAAAATCCTGATGATGACATTGGGCTAATATCGCATGAACTCGGAATAATCAATATGTATCAGCACAGTAATTTTCTCTTCCTTTAATAATGACACCAAAAGGCTTGTCAGTGAATATGAAAGAATCCAATTGAAAATAAGTGGATAAAACTTGTCCAAATTATTCAATGAACATGTCTCTCTCACTATATATATATATATATATATATATATATATATATATATAAAATCTGTCCATAGCTGAAAGAGAAAAAACGACATAATCAAGATGTTGGCCTTCCACACTACTTCAAACATAAGTTTAGGAAGGAACCCTCATCAGTATTGGAAAGAGTGATAACAGCTCCAAAATCTCAGTTACTTGAGAAACCTCCTTTCCTGAAAAATCTTAGAAAAAGACTTTGGCACTGGCCGCGCTCTCCATGTCCTTATAAGGAAACGACGAATATTAAAACCGAAACATTAACCTTAAACTTACGCCATGTCTATAAATGGAGACTTTAATATGAATGTCATGCATGGCGTCAAACCATCCCAAAATATCTCAACTGCTAGCTGTATACATCCGCTTTGTAATGTCACTCATTAAAACATTGTGGACTGGCGTTACATAATCACAAAGAAATGTACAAGTTAACTACTTCACTTGAGGGTTTTGCAGCAACAGCTGAAATAATCTCACATGTTACTAGAACAGAAAATAATATCATAATATGTTGATGTTCCATACTATTTCAGACAAAAGGTTAGGAAGGAAACCCCTATTGAGACTGGACAGTTAACAGTTACTGGATTTGAGAAAATTATTTTCCTGAAAAATTGCTTACAGTAATTGCTTATTTTAAGTGTTATATCCGAGATACTCTAGTCAAAGTTTTTAAAATTTTTTGCTAAATTGTATGTTGTGTAGTGTAGTGTTGTTGTGTAATTATGTATTTTATGTTATGTATTGTATTATGAATTATTTAATGTAATATATTGTAATGTTATGTATAAAAAAAACTAAGGAAAAATGGAAAAAGTTTTCGCGTGACGCATTTTGTCCATTGCGACTTTGTCGGACTAAATTCATGTTTACCTGGATGCGACTGAACATGCGCACAAAGGAACAGGGATGATGAGAATCTTAAATTTAAATTACTTTAGCATATATAGTGTAGCCGGTTTCAATTAGTTTATTTTCTTTTTTGTTGATATTTCAGTTACGACTATTATTAAATATCCCGCATTGGGAAAATAGAACTGCTAAGAAAGGAGAAATATAAGCTCGAAATTAAATTTACTGTGGATGATTTAGCAATTAAAGCACTTTCTATATATTTTCACCTCAGTACACTATATTCTCCTTTAATTGAAGAAACATTTTTAAATCAAAAAGCTCAGTCATCTAATGCAATGAGTTCATGTAAAAGATCTTGTGTTTATTTGTTGAAATTCCTCAATGTTTCCCCTATGGATTCATTGCGAAACTTATCACAGGTAATAGAGTAAGTTTCCTTCAAGGTTTTACTTATTTTTCCTTTTTTTTTTTTTTTTTTGGCCTTTCATTGTTTTAGAGGTCATTGTAACAAATTGTATGTTAATTTAGATAAATTATTTTCAACTGTGGTTGTGATAAATCTGGTAGGTAGAACAATATATTTTATTTCTTTGTGCTTGTCAGGAAGGTCCGTTGCTCTATTTTGTAATACTTGTATATATATATATATATATATATATATATATATAGTTACTGCTCTGGACACCTAGCGATGGCGCAAGTCGGGTGCCCCAGCAAGCACCAATATTGACCAACTATGTTATGAACTTAACGCAGGATCGTGATAACTTCCCGACCTTGATGCAGGTCGTGATAGTTGGTATAACTCATAAATGTCCGATCTTGCTCGACTGAATAATAAATAACAAAAAACAAAACAGCGAAATTTCTATTATTTACGAAATTATGAATATGTAGTCTTTTTTTTTTTTTTTTTTTTTTTTTAATATTTTCAAATACAAAGCAATTATAAAACTATTTTTATATGACCGCAGATGCTCTTCTCTTTCAATAGGAGTTAAACGATAAGCTTTATTGTAAATCTTAGTAAGAAAAGCTATGCTACAGATGCTAAGTCTCGAACTCTCACGTTTTCACTTGAAGGAAGCTCCCTTTTCGTATCACTGAATAACCAGCATCACTAATCTCATGGTTTATTTCGCAATGTTTAGATGGGGAATTATATGCGTTTTTATTCGAACCCACATTGTTATAGTGATTTTCCAAGCGTAGCTTAGATGTGACACACAGCCGAAATTTTGGGGCACCCAGTGAGGATCGAACTTACTACTCAATCGTAATTGTTCTAGCAAGGTAAACTTGCTAACCATGACATTACCTCGAGGTGCCCTAAATAATTTTCCAAGCTGAAGGCATCAGAAGGCTGAAAGTACGGGACACCCAGTGAGGGTCGAACTCACTACTCGGTCGTAATTGTTCTATAAAGGCAAGCTTGCTAGCCATTACACCACCTCGAGGTGCTCAATTCTATTATACTCACAAAGTTCTGTTGGCCGTTGTATTCTACGGGTCCTGAAACGAATGTCAACGAGGAACCTATAACGACGAACAAAGTCCGAATTCTAGATTATCCACCTTGACAGGCCGTATTAAAATAAAACTCAAAACAAATCGCTCTGCTCTGTTTTCCCTCCCACCCCACACCATTGACTAAATAACAGGATAGATTGGCCTCTCTACCCATCGTTGGTAATCAATCAAAGCGAAGAAAAACGCCGAAAATCAGTCTGTTGAAAACACCGATGATTCATCTACAAGCGATGAGGAGTTGGAAATAGATTCCTGGATTTTCAATGTGCCTTCTGCCGGGGTGGAGATGGATAGCGACAACACTGAGGATGAAGTACCTCTCCCACGTAGTGACAACAAGGAGGAACAAGTACCTCCCCTGCGAAGAGGCAACAGAAGGAAACGACTAACCCCCCCCTCCCGCTGCATTTTGGTGCAATGATCATGAGATCAAGGTTGAGTGTTACAGAGAATCGTGTCAGCCCGATAAAAAACTCCAAGTTGGTGGTATGTAGTGCTATAAGCACCAGGAGTTGCGTCCTCTTCCACAATGGGGTGTTGAGAGAAGACCTACTTACAGTAGGTGGCGCTGTCTATTTTCATATGAACGATACTTGGCAGGTATTAGCTAATAGTCAACGTGTGTTTGGGCCTGAAAGAGCTATAGAACACCAGTTTATTTTTTGGCTTGTTTTCAGCCGTTAGAAACGCTCTCACTGTGGGAGCCATCACTGTCTCTTAGCCGCGTGCTAAGTTGTTAGCGCTAGTTAAACTCTCTGCCTGTGAGCAGAGATTAAACCAGACGAGGCGGTGTCGAAGGGCAGTCGCGTCTGGGGAGATAGACAAACCCGACCTCGTTATTACAGGGTCTACGGGGAATTTTTGCCTGGGACTCCGGGCTTGGAAAGACCCACGTAAAACCAGTTTTGTTCCACATCCCGCTCTGTGGGGATCTCGGCTTAATATCGAAGCGCTCTCAACGTTCGGACATGCAAAAACCAGACAAGAGGAACACACTTTAATACCATCACTAATACTAAGCAGTAATTGTACGGGTTTGCATAAAAATATTACGGGTACATACGTTTGATTTGGGTCTTGTAGAACTTATCCTATTAAGCCGTATTTTTTTATTTTTATTTTCTTTTTTGTAACCGATATCCCATTTAACCGGAATCCACCATATGTTTGCAGATATTCTTTAAATTTTTTTTTTGCTATGTATTCATCTTCTTCAATGTGTCGTCCTCCTTCAGGACATAGGCGATCATAGCTCTCCACGACTTTCTATCCCTTGTGCCTCCTATTATTTTTTCCCTTTGCTAAGGCTCCACCTTCATTCCACACAAGCTCGTTAGGTAAGTGGTTCACTTCCTTCCCCGTATCTCTCTTGATATTAATAAGCCCCGTGGGTTTAAGTTTTCTAATCCCACTTTCCTCGTATGTCCAAGGAATTTCAGCTGTCTTTTATTGATTACGTAGTGTTCTTTCTGTTGCCATTTTCTTTGACTTCCTTGTTGTTTACGTGGAATTTTCAGTGTCCTTATATACAGTGGTCCACAATTCTTGTCACCCACTACCAAAAAATGAGAACAATAGAAGAACAATATAGGAATACAAAGTACATACACTGGATTCAGTTTATTCACTTTCATTGATGCTGTGACACATCAAGAAAGTATGTATGAACACCATCATTTGATGCGGTGCCGTGATTGCTGCCAAGGCTTTACGAACGACGTCCTTCAGCTGATGGGTATTCTGGTATCGTCCATGTCTCTAGAGATATTAGGTTTGGTGCAAAATAATGACGTAATAATGTCGTTTTTTGATGTATTTTTAACGTCAAAAACGACATTATTACGTCATTATTTTTGCACCAACCTAATATTACCCCCAAAGAGAGTTGAAATGGAAAATTATATTATGTAGAGGTAACAAGACTTTCTGATCACCCTGTTGATCCGCATTTTGGCTGCCACGAGTTTTCTCCTCATCCGTAGGGAGATTGTCCAGCATACATTGCCATATAAGAGGATGGATAACACATAGCAATCCACCACCCATTTCTTTCTTTCTAACGATTTTTTTCCGATTAGCAGTAACTTGCTTAGCTTTTGGAATGCTTCCTTCGCTAGTCCAATCGGATCTCGGTGTCGCATCTTCCATACCCTGTAAATTATTAAAACATTTTTTCCGAATATACACTTGATATATTCTGCATTGATTTAATCCACTGCTTTTTTTTTCTTTCTTTCTTTCTTTCCTTCTTTCTTTTTTTTTATTTTTTATTTTTTTAAATCTTTTTGGAAGTAAAGTTTTTTTTTTTCTTAGTAAATCCCTCATGCCAACAACACGATGTTGAAATATCTTCAGTATACGTGACAGGCCGTATTAAAATAAAACTCAAACAAATCGCTCTGCTCTGTTTTCCCGCACAATTTCTATTTTAAGACTTTTAAAGACATTTTATTTGAAATTCACCATTACTATCTTTCTGTTACTGCCTACACAACCCCGAGTCCAGTTTTTTTTTTTTTTTTTTGTGTACATAGATATGTGTGTGTGAGTGTATGGTTTCAGACAGTCCGCCATTGAGAGGTAAGTTAGATTCTTCCGCGCCAATAATTTTGGACACCTATCTCTACCCCCTTTCTCAACTCCAGTGAAATTGATCAGCGCCTAAATTTAGCCAATCCTCTTTCGAACTGATATTGTAGACCATTATTATATATATATATATATATATATATATATATATATATATATATATATATATATATATATGTGTGTTCTTAAAACTGTATGTAGAAATTTTGGTGTCAGTAAAGGGGGAAATTTTCGTAAACGTCGATTCGCGCTCTATTCACTGAGATAATTTTAATATAATTTCCTTTTTTTTCTTTTTAGACAGCAAATTCTTGTTACAAGATTTCCTTATTCTTGTCTTCTTTCTTCTCTTTTATCTTTTCTCTTCTTCACCTTTTTCCCTCTCCCCCTCTACTTTACCTTCCCCTTTCTCTTCTCCAACTCTTTTACCCTTTTTCTCTCTCGTTCAATCTTTTTTTGCACCCTTTTTCTCTCTCGTTCACCTTTTTTTGCACCCTTTTTCTCTCTCGTTCACCTTTTTTTTGCACCCTTTTTCTCTCTCGTTCACCTTTTTTTTGCACCCTTTTTCTCTCTCGTTCACCTTTTTTTTCTCCTCTCGTTCACCTTTTTTTTTGCACCCTTTTTCTCTCTTTTTTCACCTTTTTTTTTGTTCACCTTTTTTTTGCTCTTCTCTCTCGTTCACCTTTTTTTTTGCACCCTTTTTCTCTCTCGTTCACCTTTTTTGCACCCTTTTTCTCTCTCGTTCACCTTTTTTTGCACCCCTTTTTCTCTCTCGTTCACCCTTTTTTTGCACCCTTTTTCTCTCGTTCACCTTTTTTTGCACCTTTTTCTCTCGTTCACCTTTTTTTGCACCCTTTTCTCTCTCGTTCACCTTTTTTTTTTGCACCCTTTTTCTTTCTCGTTCACCTTTTTTTTTAACTTTTTTTCTCTCTCGTTCACCTTTTTTTTTTGCACCCTTTTTCTTTCTCGTTCACCTTTTTTTTGCACCCTTTCTCTTTTTCACCTCTTTGCCCCCTCCCTCTCGACTCGACATTAGATTTCTTTTCTACCGATAAATTATACTGTGAATTTGGTTTGCTTTCGTTTCCACTTTTTCTCATTTTTCTTTTCTTTTCTTTACCTGTTTTGCTGCTTTCTTTTCCATTTCCCTTCCCACCCTCTCATTTCTCTTCGCTGTCACCCTCTATTCTTTGCCTCTGCTTTTTCTTTCTCTGTTCGATTTCCTTCAATGTTTTCCTCCCTTTTGCCTTTTTGAACTATTTGACGATTTTCCAAATTTTTCTTTATTACTTTCTATATTTTTTGTCTGCTCGTATTCCCGTACCGATATTATTATTTTTTTTTTCACCCCATTCTTTCGGCAAAATAATTTCCCTTATTACCTCTTTCCACGCACTCTTCTCTTACGCCAACTCTGCTTCTTCCATCAATTTCACGATCATCACAATTTTACAGGTAATAAATCAAGTTCTCTTTTATTTTCCGCCTCGCTCTCACACTCACACTATATAGACCGACTTTTAGGTTTGCTTTCGGTCAATTTTGTTTTACAAGTATCGAACTTCACTGCGAGTACAGTGTGGTCCGAAAGTCTTGCCACCCTTAGAACAATCAACAAAGCCATTAAAATATCACACAGAATATAGTGCCGCATCTTATATAAAGTCCCGGTGTGTGACAGCGTCAATGAAAGTGAATAAACTGAATCCAGTACATGTGCTTTGTATTACTGTATTACTTGTTCTATTGTCCTCAATACTTTTTTTTGGTAGGGAGTAACAAGTCTTTCGGACCAACTTTAACATCATAGACTACATCAATGGAGAACATTTGTTTTTCTTACATTGCTTTATTTTACAAGGGGCAATGGTTGAGAAGTATTTGATACAAAACTACTTATAGTTTTGTCAATTTAAATAAAATATGAAATTAAAAAAATCAAGCAGTCATTGAAATATAGAAAATTAATGTATATAGCAAAATTATTAAATTAAAATTCCTAGCTTTTAGAAAGAAGACCATAGAATTTTAATTCAAAATATTTATCTTCCTGGCATTGTTCCAAACTAATGTTTAATCATCCCCATGACATGAACGATACCAGAATAGCCATCAGTTGAAAGACGCCGTTCGGAGAGCCTTTGATACAATCAACAAAACAAAGCTTCGTAAAAATATCACACATGACATGGCGCCGAATCATTTTGTACCACGAATATGATGGTGTTCATACAGACTTTATCGATGTGTCAATGTAAGTGAATAAAATAATTTCAGTATATGTGCTTTGTATTACTGTATTGACAAGACTTTCAGACCAGACTGTAAAATATTTTCATCTCTAAAACAAATCCCTGTCTTCAATCAATAGACATGTTGCTGCTTTTATTTTAGCCTGCTCACATAATCTCTTCTGAAATGATAGGGTGCTATCTCTGAATAAATTACGATGTCATAATCGTAGCTTAAATGTGTTACAAGGCCCCAGGTATAAAGCTGCCAGAGAGGGTCGAAATCGCTACTCAGTCTTAAGTTATCTAGCAACATAAGGTTGCTAAACATTACCCCACGTCGCAGTGCCCTATTATACAAAACATAGCCTAGATGTCGAACAAGGCTGCAAGTACACTATTTGCATTATTCGGACTATTGTCCTCATCTTTGTTGGCATATTTATCACAACATTTCAGCCGTTGAACGCTCCGGCCTTCTTCAGGTGGCTGGAATGTCGAACTGAAACCTTTATTTCGCTCACTGGAGTAGACCGTTCTACGTTAGTTAGATCCAGTGACAGGACCCAAAGAGTGTGATTTTAATACCTGGTTAAGGCGGTGGAGAACTCGGAGAAGGGGTTTAACAGGAGATAACTGATAACTGATATCCATTAGACATGGCACGTGGAACTAGAACAGTCTATCCCAGTGAGCGAAATAAAGGGTTAAGTTTGACATTCTAACCACTTGAAGAAGGCCGGAGCGTACAACGGCCGAAAACGTTAAACGTTGTGATAAATATGGAAACAAAGATGAGGACAATAGTCCGAATAATGTAAATAGTGTACATAATACCTCATCTCAGAAATATTGACAGATACTGAAAGGCCGAAACATTGTAATAAATATGGTGACAAAGATGAGGACAATAGTCCGAATAATGTAAATAGTGTACATAATACCTCATCTCAGAAATATTGACAGATACTGAAAGGCCGAAACGTTGTAATAAATATGGTGACAAAGATGAGGACAATAGTCCGAATAATGTAAATAGTGTACATAATACCTCACCTCAGAAATATAGACAGCTAAGGCTGCATGTTTACAAATTTAATCGCAGTACTAGATTGACAGGTTTCACTATTTTTCCTTTGAAATTATTAGATGTAACTAGAAGTTCTATGCTAACAGATTCTCCTCTCGCATTTCTTGTTTGTGGATCCCACTTCCAGCTTCTTGCTTTGCAGTCAAATTTGTTCTTCATTTAAATGTAATGTCCTCGCTCTTTTTTTTTTTTTTCTCTCGGATTCGTTAAACCTCAGTAACACCATGAGTTCCACTGGCTGTATCGCCTTGCTTTGGGCGACGAAAATGTATGCGGGGAAACAGTGAGGTTTGAATTCATTGTCGAAATTTGTTTAGCAAGACGAGCTTGCTAATCATTACACCCCTCTCGAAGTGCCTGAAATCTTAGAATAAATAACTACATATATTTAAAATTGGAAAAAAAAAACCCAAAACAAAACAATAACTAGACTCGCCTGCTTCTGTTGAAAATTAGGTAAGGTCGTGAAACTCTAGTGTTCTCTTAAGGAGATACTAACAATTTACGATAGAAGCGAATTAGAGTTCTACTACAGCTCATCGTGACTGTCATTCTCGCAGTCCATTTTTCTTTTTATATAGGTCACCTCCACTTGTAATAGTTAACAAACTTGTGAGGTTGATCTTCTCTGAATGTCCCAGGATTTTGGTCTTGTGCCACATCTAAGCTACGCTTAGAAAATCACCTTTATGTAAATACTGCCACAATATATAATTGAAAAAGTTCCTGACGGATTTTAGTCAATCAGTTACGAAAATTTCGAATGTAAATAGTGTAAAATAACTCCACACCAAATAAATTCAAACAGAAAAAAATAAGGCTGATTTTTTAATCAATATCTGTCTATATATCTGAGACGAAGTACTGTAATTATTTACCTTATTCGGACTGTATTTACATTAGTCGGACTATTGTCCTCATCTTTGTCGCCATATTTGTCACAATGTTTCGGCCGTTGTACGCTCCGGCCTTCTTCAGGTGGCTGGAATATGAACTCTGGTAAAGACATGCAATGATAACAACAAAAATTGCAATATGAGCACTGGTAAAAATGATGCTGAAAACATTAGGTTTATAATACTCAGAAGTTCATACCCAGATGTCCTCAAGGACACATGGCACAGTGGATAAAGGCGTTGGTTAGATCCAGTGACAGACCCAAAGAAGGTAAGTTCAATTCCTGGTTAAGGCAGTGTAGAACTTTCAGAGGGAAAATTAGCAGGAGATAACTGATAACTGACATCCATCAAACATGGCACGTGGAACTAGAACAGTCTACCCAGTGATCGAAATAAAGGGTTCAGTTCGAAATTCCAACCACCTGAAGAAGGCCGGAGCGTACAACGGCCGAAACGTTGTGACAAATATGGCGACAAAGATGAGGACAATAGTTCGACTAATGTAAATACTGTACATAATACCTCATCTCAGAAATATAGACACTCTTATTCGGACTGTTGTCCTCATCTTTATTGCGACGTTTCGGCCGTTCTACTCTCTGGACTTCTTCAGGTGATTGAAATTTCGACCTGATCTCTTTATTTCGCCCACCGGTGTAGACTGTTCTCTTCCGGATGTCTCAGTTATCTCCCTTTAACTCAACTCTTCAAGGTCTGTTCTGCTGTTTACCCATAGCTGAGGTTGGAACGAAGAGAATTCATACATTTCCCTTGGTTATTAGGACGTAAGTGAATGCATGACTGGAATTCGAACTCTGGTCTCCGATTCCTAAATCCGAGCCGCTATCCATTACTTCTAACAATATTTTACATACTCACAAAAACAAGTACATGGTCTCGATTGTTTTAAACAATTGTCTCTCATCGTTCTCCAAGCTTGATGAATATTAGTGTTTTTCTTGGAAGGAGGTTGTGATATTAGTTTCCGACTCGCGATACAGTTTAACGTGTACTCGGGCTCAGGGGGCGATCAATAACTGAACTGCATCAAAAATAAGAATTGTATGATATATCCCTAAACATGGGCAGTAGAAGGAGAACAGTCTACTCATCCCGATTAAGTAAAATGGTTCATTATGAAATTCTCTATAGGTAAACCGAGTCGATACACACCTGATAAAGGCCGGAGGGCACAACGGCCGAAACGTTCTGATAACAAAAATTTCGAATGTAAATAGTGTAAAATAACTCCACATCACTTAAATTCAAACAGAAAAAAATAATGCTCTTTTTTTTTTTTTTTTTTTTTTTTTTAATAAATATATGTCTATATTTCCGAGATGAGGTATTCTAATTATTTACATTATTCGGACTGTTGTCCTCATTTTTATTGCGACGTTTTGGCCGTTGTGCTCTCCATTCTTCTTTATGTGATTGGAATTTCAAACTGAACTCTTTATTTCGCCCACCGGTGTAGATTGTTCTAGTTTAGCGTACCATGCCTCTTCCAGATGTGACAGTTATCTCCCTTTAACTCTGCAAGTCTTTGTTCACCACTGCAGGAGCCAGCTATTGATCTCACAACTCTTTGGATCTCGTGACTGTCAAGTCACGAGATCCAACCAACGCTTTTATCCACTGGAACTTGAGGACATCAGTGTATGAATTATTTGAACTTATAAAGTTAATATCTCAGTAACCATTTTTACCAGAGCTCATATTGAAATTTGTGTTGCTATTAATTGCTTTACTCTAGCACTTTTTATTACTGGTTCCCATATTGTATTCATTTCTATGCTTGGCCGACATATGAGAT